GGGGGGGGGTGAAGACACAATGTTCAGTTCTCTGTCCTCTTAATGAAGTGTTGCTGGATGGAAGCAGCTGTTCCTCGATGAGGCTTTGGCTGGCCAGCTGGAGACATCTGGAGCTTTGTTCCCATTACATTGGGGCTGTTTGTTTAATAATGTTTATAGTCCTCATCTCAGAAAAATGTATGAAATATGTCCGGAGGTCTCATATATATATAGCAGTGTGAGAAGGAGGTATATAGTATACAGTCCCATGTCAATGTCCGGGGACTCCGTAAACAGAATGAGAAGCAGCTGCTGAGACCTCTCCCATTAAACAATACAAATTCCGAAACTAACAAATTCTTTAATGTAAATCTGAACTTCGGGAAGATCGAAAAGACACATCGAGAGTTATCTGAGGAGCTTCCAGGATTTCTTGCTCATACTCCATTCTAGAGAATAAGACCACCACCAAATACAATGCACTCCATGGATATATAGACCTCTGGGTCTTCAGAATGGCTTTTACAGCCATAGTTTTGGAGGAGAACACTCTCTGGATGAGAAATGATCCCAGCGATGGCTTCTTTGATTTGGTGGCTTCAAATCCCTACGCAAGGATCCACCTGAGAAATTATAACCATTCATATATTCCAAATATTATCAACGAGCTATACAAAATTTCAAACTAGGTTGTCACTGTGGTGTCTGACCTCACCAGTTCAGATGTTTCCTTGGATCCTTGTGGGGAGTTGGGCTTGAGAAGCCACCAGATCATAGAGGACCAGGATGTTCCCTCCGCAGCTGTTGGCTGTAGAAGAGCTTCAGATCTCTTTGTATCTCAGTGTATTATATTACTTTTGGTGGTGGTTTCACTCCTCATGTTGAACTGTCACGATGGGTTATTGTTATGGGGTGGCAACGCTCTGTCCTTGTTTGTGTGCATTCTAGCCCAAAAGTTTGGCAACATTTTCCCCATCTAAAGTGTTTTTTGATGGTTTTAAGGGTGTGATGGGCTTTAAGTGGCTTGTGAGAGTTACTGAAGATACTTTCATCCATCTGTTAGCACATAGCAGGGGCCCTTTACGTGACATATTACAAATAATGAACTACAAATACATATCAAACACTGCCATAGATCTATCCACCCAAATATTGCAGCTGAACGAGGGAAACATTTGTCTGAGAACAAAATCTGCAATTTGGTGGCAAAAATCTAATTTTTGCTTCAATTGCTCCACTACTTGCCAATCATCACATTGCATTGGTGTCAGTGGCTGCAGTAATAGCCCCCAGCATTGGTGTCAGTGGCTGCAGTAATAGCCCCCAGCATTGGTGTCAGTGACTGCAATAATAACTCCCAGCATTGGTGTCAGTGACTGCAATAATAACCCCCAGCATTGGTGTCAGTGGCTGCAGTAATAGCCCCCAGCATTGGTGTCAGTGGCTGCAATAATAACCCCCAGTATTGGTGTCAGTGGCTGCAGTAATAACCCCCAGCATTGGTGTCAGTGGATGCAATAATAACCCCCAGCATTGGTGTCAGTGGCTGCAGTAATAGCACCCAGCATTGGTGTCAGTGACTGCAATAATAACCCCCAGTATTGGTGTCAGTGGCTGCAGTAATAACACCCAGCATTGGTGTCAGTGACTGCAATAATAACCTCCAGCATTGGTGTCAGTTGCTGCAGTAATAACCCCCAGCATTGGTGTCAGTGACTGCACTGATAACCCCCAGCATTGGTGTCAGTGGCTACAGTAATAACCCCCAGCATTGGTGCCAGTGGACCCAATAATAACCCCCAGCATTGGTGTCAGTGGCTGCAATAATAACCCCCAGCATTGGTGTCAGTGGATGCAATAATAACCCCCAGCATTGGTGTCAGTGGATGCAATAATAACCCCCAGCATTGGTGTCAGTGACTGCAATAATAACCCCCAGCATTGGTGTCAGTGGATGCAATAATAACCCCCAGCATTGGTGTCAGTGACTGCAATAATAACCCCCAGCATTGGTGTCAGTGGATGCAATAATAACCCCCAGCATTGGTGTCAGTGGATGCAATAATAACCCCCAGCATTGGTGTCAGTGGATGCAATAATAACCCCCAGCATTGGTATCAGTGACTGCAATAATAACCCCCAGCATTGGTGTCAGAGGATGCATTCCTTAAGCTGCACTCATTGACTCACCGTTGGTGTGATCCGATGCGTTGCTGCCTTTACTCCCCTCAGATGCTTGCCATGGACTTCTTAATGGAATTGGTGCTCAGATCGTCACTCTCAGCGCTCAGATTGTCGAACTCAGATTGTCGCACTTGGTGCTCAGATTGTCGCTCTCAGCGCTCAGATTGTCGCACTTAGCGCTCTGATTGTCCCACTTGGCGCTCAAATTGTCACTCTCAGCGCTCAGAGTGTTCCACTCGGTGCTCACATTGACACACTTGGCGCTCAGATTGTCGCTCTCAGCGCTCAGATTGTCGCTCTCAGCGCTCTCTCTCTGTATTCTCTATTTTTCATAAAACTCTGAATGTTGATTCTTCTTCAGTTCTCCATTGGAGGAAAGTCCCGGCTCTTCTTGTACATCGCTGCGTCCCCTGCAGCTTCTTCTTCTTGTGTTTTTCTCTCTGTCAT